GGACCCATTGGTCACCATTACGAATCGTGCTCTGATCAACATCTCTCTGTATAATTATCTGTACTTATTTTAGATTATTTTCATTTTTAGAAATGAGATTCTTGGTTACAGTTTACACATACAGGTTTCCCTTGTTATCCAAAAGTTTGCTTTTACACCACTTCTTTTTTTAAAATTTTTTATTTTATTTTATTTTTAAGATTTTATTTATTAATTTGACACAGAGAGACACAGCTAGAGAGGGAACACAAGCAGGGGGAGTGGGAGAGGGAGAAGCAGGCTTCCCGGAGAGCAGGGAGCCCGACGCGGGGCTCGGTCCCAGGACCCTGGGATCATGGCCTGAGCCGAAGGCAGACGCCTAACAACTGAGCCACCCAGGCGCCCCTATGCCACTTCACTTTTAAGAAACACTGACAGGGGGACGCCTGGGTGGCTTAGTCGGTTAAGCGTCTGCCTTCGGCTCAGGTCATGATCCCAGAGTCCTGGGATCGAGTCCCACATCGGGCTCCTTGCTCAGCAAGGGGCCTGCTTCTCCCTCTGCCTGCCTCTGTGTCTCTGATAAATAAATAAAATATTAAAAAACAAAAAAACAAAAAAACACTGACGGGGCACCTGGGTGGCTCAGTCGGTTAAAGATCTGACTCTTGATTTCAGCTCAGGTCATGACCTCAGGGTCGTGATCACGCTCAAGCCCTGAGTTGGCCTCCACACTGGATGTAGATCCTGCTTAGGATTCTCTCTCTCCCTCTCCCTGTGCCCCTCCCCCTGCTTGTCCTCTCTTTCTAAAAAATAAAATTAAAATAAAATAACACTGACATTACTGTACATGAGTTTTTGCTAACATGAAGAGGATTTTTGCTTTTAACAAATGGTAACTGTTTCTTTGCTTTAGGCCATTATGGCTTACATAAGCTTTCATAGGAACACTCCACTTTTGGATAGAGGAGGGAACTGTATTTTAAGGCCTAATGATACATATTGCCAGGAACTTGATTTTAAGAAGAAACATATGTTTTGTGAATGCAAGGGCCGTGTTTGCCCACCCGTTTCCCCAGTGACTAGAGCATTAGCCACAGTGAAGGTACTTAGTAAAATATTTGCTCAATGGATTAACATATGGCACCAGCCACTGAAAATAAAGGAAGTTTCAGAAAACAGCATCTACCCGTCAGCCTCTCTCCTGTATCTGAGATATTTTATAGTGGTTGATAAGCATATGATAACGCTTACTGGGCCACCCTAGGAATTATATAACTTCTCTGCATCTAGTTTGTTCCTCTGCAAAACGAGATCGACAATATCAGCCTCACTAAGATGTGGTGAGCTTATTAAATCAGGTAATTTCTACGGAGATGCACTGGGGTGCCAAATACACAGTAATTGCTCAATGAATGTCTTCTATTATGACTTTACATAACTGAGAAATCCTGAAAAGATTTTTTTCCTCAAAAGGAGGTACATAAGGAAAAGTGATGATTCTACGTAAGCATCTCAATCAACGAGTCAAGAGACACAACTGAAGATTTTACAAGACTTCATGACTTTTTAAAGTCCTTGTCGGTTGTTTTTTACTATCCTAGACCTATTCCTCTTGAGTGGCTGGCAGAAAAATCTTCACAGGAAAAAGAGCTCTGCTTGCAGTGGAACAAGGCCAGGGCAGCTGGAGATACTGGGGCGAGGGGGAGGGCGGGGGGGGGCGGGGGGGGAACAGTGAGGTGTCCCAGGGAAGCATCACCAAGCGAAAGAGAGGAGGACACCTTCAGGGATTCAGAAAGCAGGGAGCGGGCCTAGACTGAGAAGGGCTTTGAGACTTGAAGACTTCCAGACCTAGACACGCTCGCTGCTCGACTGTGCGGCCGGGCCGGGTCCTGGGCAGCAGTGGTGGTGTGTGTGGGTGCCGAGTGAGGATCGAGCAGGTGCTGGGGTCAAGGCCAGGTACTCTCACACTGAGCACTGACTGGAGGAACTGTGCTATGTTCGGTGATTTAATCCACAACCATCATTGCAAGCCTGCTATGTGCCAGGCCCTGTGGTAGGCCCAGGGCAGTCAGCAGGGAACGGACAAAAAGGCAAACACTTTCTCTTTTGTGGAATTGTGTTCTAGTAGGAGGATACAGACAACAATCAATCAATATAATACATATGTACACGATATAATATGTAACTTGAAGGTGATAAATGCTTTGAAAAGAAGACAGCTGAATGATGGGGATGCCGAGTGTGGGTGGTGGAGGGGAAGTCTACGATACTAAGTGTGGTTCGTGTGCGTAGGCGGTGTTTAAAAAGTGATGATGGGGCCAAGACTTAAAGGAGGTAAGGCAGGAAGATGCAAGGATACAGGGAAAGCGTGGTCCAGGCAGCCGACCGGCCAACGCAAAGGCCCCAAGGTGAAGAAGGATGTCCATGTTTGAGTAAAATCAGGGAGGCCGGAGGGGCTAGAACATGGTGAACTGGGGAGAGAACGGGAGGAAGCAAAGGTAGAGAGATTAAAGGGGGACCCTGCATTGTAGAGCCCAGGAGGCCATTATAATGTCACGTTATCCTGGATCAGAGCTTCGCAGTGATGGTCTCAAGTAAGAGGGGTTTCCTTGGGCCACACTCGGGCTGCTCAAACGGAACGCAGGTACGAGGAATATACTTCTAAATGTGGCCATTCAGTTATTCTCCACCGTTCCTTCTCCCTGGGCGAGGTGGAGGAACTTGTGGGCAGCCCTGGGGAAAGAAGCAGGAAATGAACCCGGTCCCAGACAGGCACTCCCTGGGGACTTTCGGATATGTTGCAAGAGTCTGGTTGCTGGGTCCAGCCCTCCTGCTCCTCAAGCTTCCACCCCTTCAAGTGCATAACCGGGGACCCCTCAGTTCTCAGGGGCATATGACTCTCCCTACAGACCCCAGCATGGAAAGAGCTTGCCCAAGTGGGCAGCTCTAACTCCCCAAAAGGAAGCCCACACTGGTAGTGCCTGTCCACTAAAAGGATCTCTTTAGTGATTAACAAAAGCACTCGTGGGGCACGTCTGCCTTCAGCTCAGGTCATGATCCCAGGGTCCTGGGACTGAGCCCCACATTTGGGGGGGGGGTCTCTGCTCAGCGGGGAGTCTGCTTCTCCCTCTCCCTGCTGCTACCCCTGCTTGTGCTCTTTCTCTCTGACAAATAAATACATAAAATCTTTAAAAAAAAAAGCACTCACAATAATGAAGAGGACGTGAGTATGGTTAAGGACTATGATTATTCAGGATCTCTACGAGTAAACATATCAATTCAACATTCTTCAAAATACTCAAAATTCTCCAGTTTTAGAGTCAAAAGCTAAAGCATTTATTTATATTTTAAGATATCGGGGAGTGAAAACATTATCCCTTTGGGCGCCTGGGTGGCTTAGTTGGTTAAGCGACTGCCTTCGGTTCAGGTCGTGATCCTGGAGTCCCGGGATCGAGTCCCGCATCAGGCTCCCCGCTCAGCGGGGAGTCTGCTTCTCCCTCTGACCCTCTTCCCTCTCGTGCTCTCTATCTCTCATTCTTTCTCTCAAATAAATAAATAAAATCTTTAAAAAAAATAGAAAACATTATCCCTTTAAGAGCTGCTTACCTTTATTTGCTTATTTTTTAAAAGATTTTATTTTTTTGAGAAAGAGAGAGAGATTGAGCAGGAGGGGGGTAGGGGCTGGCTCAGTCAGTGCGACTCTTGACCTCACCCCAGTGAGTTTCAGCCCCACATTGGGTGTAGAGGTTATTTAAAAATAAAATCTTAAAAAAACAAACCAAAGCAAAAACACCTGTGGTCAGTGTTATTTGAAATATGGAAAATTAAGACCAAGAGCCATAGACGCAAACAACCTCAGTAAAGGACACACCACTTCGGGCTCTGAGTCACAAGAAAAGTGAACAGAGAAGGCGATGGTCTAGCAAGTAGACTAGAAATAGAGACTGTTTTTACATTTTAGGCATTGCCCTCCATGAGTGAGTGTCTCGGTTTGCCCCTGCTCTCTTGAGCAGTATTAGTGAGTTGCTCTTTGCCCTGATAAGAAGGGTAGTGCGCCCCGGGAGGGAAAGCACGCGCAGACCCGGCGGCGGAGCGAGGCCACACTGCCCCCTAGAGGTCTGCTGCGTGCACGCCCGCGCGGCCCGGCAGCCGCCTTCTGGGCACCGGGCGCGTCTGGTGAGCTCCAGCGCGTAGGATCCTGCGGGAGCGAAGTGGCGCGGCCCGCGGCGGGCCTCACTCCTGGGCGGACCTGCCGGGTAGTCTTGGGCTCCTGCGGGAGGCTCACGTCGGGGAGAGTCATCAGCCCCCGGGGGGACACACCGCGAGGGAGGCTGCAGTCGCCGTGTCGCCGACACAGTGGCCCGAAGAGGAGCCCCGCGGGACTGTCCTCCTCCGGCCCCTGCCTCCCCTCACCCGGCCTGTGCGCTGCGGAGCACAGGGGTCATCAGGAGCCAACAGAGAGGCGGCGGGAGCTCTCCAGCTGGCCGCGGACAAGGGGAGTCCCGAAGGAAGCTTCCAGTCGGGGGGGGGGGGGGGGGGTTGGGTAGCGCGGTGGGGGACCCGGGGAGGAAGCCGAACCTGGGCCGTCATAGCAGAGGGCGCTGCACAGAATACAGGGAGCTCTTCTGACCACACGAGAGAGCCAGGAAGGCGTTCTCTGGACAGGACCAGATGTTTCTAGAGGGAGTGGGGATTTACGTGATGACCAGTCCGTGTGTAGGTTTGGTGTTCTTGCTGCTCGGGGATGGCAGGAACCATACAGCTCACCACTTAATCCAGTCACAGCCACACAACCACTTTTTACCCGTTTGATACATGTCCTTCCAGACTTCTTCCCATTCCTATGCTGTGTAGACAAGTTCGTTTCCTACTTTCTCATTTACAACAAAAGCTCTTGTCCTTAGTGCTTTTGAAAAAAACAATTTGATAATTTCTTATCAAGTTACCACCACATGACACTGCTGTGTATTTATCCCAGGGAAATAAACACCGGCGCCCACACAAAGTCCTGTACACGAGTGTCCATAGCAGCTCCACCCACCAACAACCCAGATGCCCTCCAGCGGATAAACGGGGAAACTAGCACACAGCGGAATACCACTCAGCAAGGAAAACAGAAGGAGCTTCAGATGCGAACCTCAGTGTGGACGAACCTCAAAGGCATGCCAGGTAAAAGAAGCGAGTCCCAAAAGATCCATGTGCATGAAGCGTTCCTGAAAAGACCGAACTCTAAGTACAGCAAACAGTCCTGGTGGCCAGCTCGGGGGAGGGGGCAGGAGGTGACAGCGCAGGAATAGCAAGGGGGTGTTTGGGGTGATGGAATGGCTTGTCTTGATTTGATGGTGGTACACAAATCGACAGAGATGCCCGTACTCACAGAACTGTGTACACAAAATAGTCAGTTTTATTCTATGCGAATTTTTAAAAATAGGCCAAAATGCCTATAAAACATAATTTAAAATAATTTGTTTTTAGTAAATATTCCAGCCAGGGGCCCGTATTATCATTTATCCACCTCTTTCCCTGCTGCAGGGCTGTTGGATCGTTCATGTTTCTGCATAAATAAAGCTGTCCTGAAAACTTCAGGGACATACATCTTTGTTCAGATTTAGGATTTTTTCATTAGAATGGAGTACCAGAAGTGGGATTACTGAGACGATGGGTGCGAATATTTTTAGACTTCTTGGTATCTGCTGCCAAATTGCTTTCCGTCCGGGGTTATGTCAGTTGACCCTCCCACCCGCGGCGTCTGAGATTTCACTGGGTTGGACACTGTTACGTATGTGAAATTAGATTTATTCAGGGTCGTTTGGAGAATCCTTGTAAGGAAGAAAGAGGAGTAAGAGAAACAGAGGTGGGTGAGCTTCTAGACCAGAAAAGAAATCAGACCTGCAGACCTGAAGATTTTTTGCTTCCTATTTTTGTGCTTTTCTGATAATGCCAACCTTTCTCCTTACCTCTCTTTGTCCCGCTGGCTTTCCTGATTGATTTCTGTTTTCTTATTTCTTCTTCCCCCTCTCTTTTAGCCCTAATGCAGGAGCAAAGTTAGGTCACCAAAGCAGAAAGGCCATTTTATATAATTGACTAAGCAATCTTTATTTAAACACCAGTCATGTGAAAGGCACTGTTCTAGCCGCTGCGAGACTCGGCGCAGAGCAAGAAGAATGGAGTCTGCCAGCCCGGGACATACAGCACAACAGAGAGAGAGGAAGATAGTATCACTTCCCTGCCCAGGACCACCTTTCCCTCTTCTGTGTTGCTAATGATGGCACCGAACACAGGAACACCAGCAGATGCTGTGTAGCCCTTTGAAGAAAGAGCGATCGATTGATGGCTCCAAGTGACGTTCATCAATTTCACAAGCCATGTGAAATTAAGCTGTGCCTTGTAAGGTGGGTGCGTCCATGTCAGTGCATTCCAGGTAGGGAAAGCAGAGGTGGCAGTATGGAAGTGAGACTCCTTCCCTCTGATGTGCTTGTATGAAAACTAACAAACAGCGATCAAAAACCTTCTCTCCCGACGTGAAGAGAAACTGACTCAACAGCCCATTTGCGTGCACCGGCTTGTGGGGGAAAAGGGGAAGGCCTATTCCCCAAAGCAGCCTTCCTCTCACACAGATAGAGATATCATGTATAATAAATTGGGAAAACTTGTGAAATGAGACATCTGTTCTGCATGCTCAAGCACCAAGGCACTCTGAAATAATGAATTTCCACTCTGTATTCTAGGTGCTGGTGATGATGAGCTGAGAATGAGTCTGGAAGGTTCATCTCTCTCCAATAAAAAAGGTTCATCATCTCTCTCCAACTTGTATAATAATTGCTTTGGAACACTTTAGGTAGGAAATTGAAAGAGATTGGAGGAAAGGAATGATGAAAGAACCGAAGAGGAATTGATGAAAGAGCCAATAAAGCTAAGAAATGTTGGGAAATGAATTTTAATGAACTGAACAACACCTTCAGCTAATTCAACCAATTCAACAAAGCCATTATAATTGTATATATGGTGCTTGTTTTGCCACAAATCTACGTAGACTGAAAGATACATTATGAAATGCAAGAACCTCCTGTATTCAGAATCCGAACAAATGCCTAGATGTTTGAAAAGATAAAATGTGGATATTCTGTCTTAGATGTTTTTAGGACAGGATGCTTTTTTCCCCCTATAATAAACATTTTATTCTTTCTGGATGCCAGCAATTTCCCCTATAAGGCAGCAGCTGTGTATTGTTTTCTAAGGTACTACTGGTTTTCAAGTTCACTCCTGACCTTACAATATACAATAATAACTCATAAGTCCTACCAGATGGCGAAGGTTTCTGCATAGCAAACAAATAACAGAATGAAAAGGCAACCTATGGAATGGAAGAAAGTATATGCAAACTATACATCGAATAAGGGGTTAATATCCAACATATAAAAGCAATAGCAAAAAGTCAAATAACCCAATTAAAAAACAGGCAAAGGACCTAAATAGGCATTTTTTCCCCAAAGAATTTATATACAAATGACCAAAGTATTTGAAAAGGTGCTCAACACCACTCTTCATCAGGGAAATGCAAATCAAAACCACAATGAGATACCACCTTATACCTGTTAGAATGGCTATTATCAAAAAGAGTAAAGATAAATGTTGGCAAGGATGTAGAGAAAAGGGAGCCCTCGTGCACTATTAGTGGAAGTGTAAATTGATACAGCTATAGTGGACAACAGTATGGAGTTTCCTCAAAAAATAGGCGGAGCTACCATAGACCAAGCAAACTTACTTTTGGATATATATCTAAAGGAAATTAAATTTGTATCTCGAAGAGATGTCTGCACTCCTATGTTCATGGCAGCATTATTCCCGATAGTTAAAAAATGGAAACAACCTGAATGTTCATCAACAGATGAATGGATGAAGAAACTGTGGTCTGTATCAACACTGGAACACTAGTCAGCCTTCAAAAAGGAGATCCTGCCATTTGTGACAACATGGATGAAAATGGAGGACATCATGCTAAGTGAAATAAGCCCGGCACAGGAAGACAAATACTGCATGATTCACTTATATGTGGAACCTAAAATTCTCAAACTCTCAGGAGCAGAAACTGAAATGATGGTTGCCAGGGTTTAGGAGGAGGGGGGAAAATGGGAAGATGTTGGTCAAGGAGCACAAAGTTTTATTTATGCAAGATGAATAAATTCTGGAGTTCTAATGCACAGCAATGTGAATACAGTAACAATACTGTGTTGTATACTTGAATTTTAGATCTTAAGTGTTCTTATCACACACAAACATACACACAAAGAAAATAAAGTAACTATATGATGCAATGTATATGTTCATTAACTTGATGATAGTGATCATTTCACAATGCATACATATGTCATATATCAAGTTCTGTATCTTAAGAAAAAGAAACCTTAAAAATATTAGACATTCTTTTTTACAATATTTTTTAAGTAAACTCTTTGCCCAATATGGGGCTTGAACTCACAAGCCCAAGATCAAGAGTCGAGTGCTCCACTGACTGAGCCAGCCAGGCACCCCTATTAGACATTCTTTTTAACTGAATAAAAATGAAAATGCAACATATTAAAATTTGTAGAATACAGATAAATCACTACTTAGATGGAATTTTTTAGCTTTAAATACTTATATGTTAAAAAATGGACAAGGAATTTGAGTATTTGGCAGAAAAGCAAAACTAAAGGGCCGCTAAACCAACAAATCGTTATCAATTATACTTATAATCACAGAAATGTGAATCAATATGTCACTTATTCCAGATCAGAGAAAAAATGTGGACAATCTGAAGTGCTGGTCAGGTTGTTGGGATTTGGTGGCTTTATTTCTTCGCACAGTGGAGTAGAGTTTAACAAAATTGCTAGAGTTGAAATCTACTTGTGGACACATGCCCTGTAAAGATACTGTCAGGAGCCCATAAGGAAGCCAAGATAAAACGTTTATTTCAGAAAAAACATGTTTATTTCAACACAGTAATGGTGAAAATGGAAAATAATTTGAATTTGGGGATTATTAATTCAAAACACATGATAAATTATGTAATGTGTGGCCTATTCACAAATGGAATATGACACTGCAGCTGAATAAGTGAATTTGAACTACATCTGTCAGAACGGATGCTCCCAACACAGAATGTTAAATGAACACATACAGTAGTAATTCTAGAGAAATAATGCAGATGTAATGTGCAGAAGCACAAAGCAGCCGGAAAAGAGACATGAAGATGTGAAAACATGGATGGGAGGTTTCAGGACAACCCCTCCCCACCCCCACCCCCACCCCCACCCCCACCCTCCCACCTCCACCCCCACCGGGAAGGAAAGCTGACAAACACTCTAAAAAGACCACAAAGGGGGGTATCAATTGTTTATCTCTTTTCACTGCAGTCTTTTTTTTTTTTAAAGATTTTATTTGTTTATTTGCCAGAGAGAGTGAGAGCACAAGGGGGGGAGCGGCAGGCAGAGGGAGAAGCAGGCCTCCTGCTGAGCAGGGAGCCTGATGTGGGACTCGATCCCAGGACCCTGGGATCATGACCTGAGCGGAAGGCAGACGCTTAACCGACTGAGCCACCCAGGCGCCCCTTCACTGTAGTCTTTATCTTAAGACATGGGGCAAAATGTCAGCCACACGGAGGTTTATTTATATGCTTTTCTATATGTGTGAAGTATTTCATAACAAAACGAATGGATACAAAACAAAACAAAACAAAACCGTTAGTGGGCATGTGAATCACTGGGAACCTTGTTAAAGTGCAGATTCTGATTCAGAGGTGGGGCCTGAAATCCTGCATTTCTAACAAGCTCACAGGTGATAAGGATACCGTTGGTACCTAGGACATGCTTGCAGTAAAAAGATTCTCAAGTGATAGTTCTTAATCTTGGCTTCCCTCTAAGGAAATTTTATTTAGCAAAAACTATTAGCTCTTAGTTGTTGAAACTGGTTCAGTATTCTCTTTTGAGTCCTGTGTTGAGTCCTGGAATGGCAAGATATTTCTAGATGATGCTAATGGGTAGCCAAGGTTGAGAAGCACTGGTCTACTGAAAAGTCAAGAATTCAAACTATTTTATTTTATTTTATTTTTTTAAGATTTTATTTGTCAGAGAGAGAGAGAGAACACAAGCAGGGAGAGTGGCAGGCAGAGGGAGAAGCAGGCTCCCTGCTATGCAAGGAGCCCGATGTGGGACTTGAACCCAGGACTCTGGGATCATGACCTGAGCCGAAGGCAGGCGCCTAACCGACTGAGCCACCCAGGTGTCCCAAGAATTCGAAGAACTTTAAATGACAGAAACCCAATTCAAGCTAAACATGGGAACTGCTTGTCAATGGCATTCGCAAATGAAAAAAATAATAATTGTGATTTTTAAAACTGTTAAAAAATAAAATTGTTACTCAGAACATACTTGATTAACCACTCAGTGAGTGACACACATAAATACTGTTAAAGGAATTTAGAGGAGAGCTCTATTAGGCTGGCATACTTAAGGGACGGAGGATCGGATGAAGATGTGACAAGACTGTGCCCGCCCAGAGTCCCAGGTGTGGGATGAGCAGAGGTGACAAAGAAGTGAGCCCCTGAGCTGAGGTGAGCTCTTCTACTCCTCTGGAACTGTGCTTTTTCTGGACTTGAAAGCCCCTGAAGCTTCTTGTTTATACCACTGGCCAGACGGGGTTGCTTTGCCACTCAAAGCCATCAACATGTTTGCGTACTGTTAACCGTTTGCCATCTTCCCACCTACTATAATCTCATGGCTGAGTTCGAATTCTGACTGATTGAACTGTATTACTAGGAGCTAATTCCCATTTTAAAAGGTTAAGGTTCTTAGCCATTTTCTTATTTGAAACTGTTAAAAGTAGCTTTAGGTATGTTGTGGGATATGTGCATGATGGGGTATTTCTCCTTTGCCTGGAATACCTTACCTCCCTACTCCTACTGCGTTCCCTCATTTAGCCTCCTTCCCATCTTAGGACTTCTCAGGCTAGCCTTTGGCAAAGGATCATGGTATTTTATTTTATTTTTTTTAAAAGATTATTCCCTGGGATCATGACCTGAGCCAAAGGCTGACACTTGACCTACTGAGCCACCCAGGCGCCCCAGATCATGGTATTTTAGAAAGAATTCAGATTCTCTGGGGAAGTCAGGACCTCCAACACTGTGGTGGTTTTTAAAGATATACCCACAAGTTCTTTGATATTCCTCCCTGAAGAGAAGGGGCTTAATCCGCCTTCCTCAGTGCGGGCTGGACTTAGTGACTCAGCTCTAAGAAATGGACATGACAGACGTAATGGACTGGTACTTTTGCAATTTGGTTACTAAAAGATTGTGGCTATTGTCTCGAGGGTGCGTGCTCATTCTTTTGCTCACAAATTGCTCACCCTGGGGGACCCAGCTGCCGTGTTACGAGGCAGCCTGTGGAGAGGCACAAAGTGAGGAACTGAGGACTGCCAACAGGCATGGGAAGCAGCCTGGAAGGAAATCCTTCCCTGGAGAGAAGGTGCAGATGACTAGGGGCGTGGCTGACACCCTGATGACAGCCTTGTGAGAGTCTGGGCAGAACCACCCAGCTGAGCGGCCCTGGACTCCTGACCACGGAAACTATGAGATGGTGTTTGTTTTCTTAAATTGTTAAGTTTGGGGTAATGTCTGTATTGACTACCAGAATAGAAAGGAATGCTCAGTGTCAGGGTGAATCCATGGATCAGGGAGCCCAAGAGAAATGAAATGAGTGTGTGTATGTGTGTGTGTGTGTGTGTTTAAAATACATCCCACTTCTTTGGAAGTGAAAAATGAATTTTTGAAAAAAACAACCAACCAGGTTCTTTACTGTTATGGAAACACTTAAGCACCCCCCACATACACTCACAGTTTCTCTCTCTCTCTCTCTCTCTCTGTCTCTCTCTCTCTGTCTCTCTCTCTCTCTCTCTCTCACACACACACACACACACACACACACACACACACACACACACACACAGAGTCACACTCCCAAGAGAGTAGAGGACAGTAGCTTAGAATATAAGAGGAAGACTGGTTGAACAACTTACGCCCCTGGGAGCAGCCCTGCAAGCAAGAAGTACCGTAAGTTAGAGCTCTCTGGCTTTATCTTTTTTCTTTTTTAAAATTTTAT